GGGGCAGGATCTGGGGTGAATGAGGCCCTGGGGCAGGTTGTGGGATGGTTGGAGCCCTGGGTAGCTTGTCCAGGGGTGCAAGGAGGCTCCCACCGCTGAGCACAACCTGGATGTGGTAGGGGGCTTCACCTGCTCCTTGGGTTTGTGATCATGATGGAGTGGAGGCAGGCTGCTGCTGAGTGCTGGGGCTCTGTGCCCCACTGCCATTGCTAGCTGTGTTGTGTTCTGTGCCCACCCGACAGCAGGAGGCATGTGGCGTCACGTGGCTCCCAGGACAATGGCATCAGGGTACAAAGCCCAGCCCTTAGTGACAGCCCACCTCTGCTCTGTCCTGCACGAAAATCTGGGGGGCATGTGCAGCCCCATGCACCCTCTCTGCAGGTGCACACAGCAGTGGGAGCCCCCTCATGCCCCTGGATGAGCTGCCTAGGAGGGCTCCAACCATCCCACAATCCACCCCAGGGCCCCATTCATCCCACCCCTTGCCCCTGCCTCTGCCCCACTCCCTCCCTCACTATGGGGAGGCCTCGATCTGCACCCCCACGGCCCTTCCCTTCCGCACTCCCCTTCCCCCTTCACAGATTTAGTTGCTGGGTGGTGTCTGTTTAGAAGTATCTTCTAAGTTTTACTTAATCCCCTTTTCCCCAATAATATTTTCTCCCTCTGCCTATGGCTTCATCCCTTGCACTATGCCCATAGGTTGAAAACTATTTTCTATGCCTTTTAATATTTTTATTTTATAGTGGATATACTCTGGACTCTTATTTGCTTTGGTTAGTTTGAATAACTAAACCAGCTACATATAAATATCTTTCTGCTGGGTGAAGGTTCTTTTAGTATTAAATTTAAATGTGTTCTTTGAAGAAAATGTAATGTATGTTTAACTCTGCTGTCAGGTAGACTTAACCCTTTTTGTTCTGTATTTTGACTCACTATTTTGCTACTCCCTGCATGTGCCAAACTCCCAAACAGCAGCTTCAGTTTACATTGCATATAGCTGTATATGTTGCTGAAATGGGGAATGTAAACCTTTGTCTGTCAAATGTGCAGTGGTACGTTAGCTTAGTGTTGTCAAACTTGCAAGTGGCTGGGGGCCACGTGTGCCATGAGACCCCCTCCCACATAGGCCTTTCCCCTCCCCCAGTGCACTGCACACCTGTGGACCCCCCCCCATGCACCACATGCCCCATTACTACAACATTTGCCTGTGTCCCTCCCCACCACTACACTGGGCACCCACAACCTTGCTACACTGTGCGCCCATATGAGTACCCCCTTGTTGTTACCATGCATCCATGACCTTCCTCCTTTTCTCCAGCATCATGCACCTATGCAGGTGCTTACCACTGCACCATACATTTGAACCCCAACGCCAGGCTCACTATCAGCTCCCTGATCTGCCATACTGCCTTGCCCCAGGGTGTAGGAAGTGGCAGCAGGAGGAGGAAAGTTTGCAGATGCAGGCGGACCTGGACAGGCTAGAGAGTTAGGCAGACTGGAACCGGATGAAGTTTAACACTTCCAAGTGTAAGGTGCTCCATCTGGGGGCAAATAACCCTCAACATACATACAGGCTTGGAGGTGACAGCCTGATTTGCACCCTGGCTGAAAGGGACCTAGGGGTAATGATTGACCATTGCATGAACATGAATTGTCAGTGCGATGTGGTGGCCAGCAGGGCAGATAACATGCTATCATGCATCAACTGATGCCTCTCATGTAAAACTAAGGAAGTGATGCTCCCGCTGTACTCAGCACTGGTGAGACTGCAGTTGGAGTACTGCGTCCAGTTCTGGGTGCTGCATTTCAATAAGGACATGGAAAAACTTGAGAGGGTGCAGAAAAGAGTCGCCTGTATGATCAAGGATTTGCAAGGCAAGCCATACAAGGGCAGGCTGAGGGACCTCTGGGCCTCTTTAGCCTAAAGAAGAGAAGGTTGAGAAGGGGACTTGATAGTGGCTTAACGCTGTATCAGAGGAGTGTGTCAGGAGCTCAGTGAACAACTGTTCACTAGGACACCCCTGGGGAAGACTGGGACCAATGGATATAAACTCCTAGAAGGCTGCTTCAGGGTTAATACTGGGAAAAACTTCACGGTCAGGGTGTCCAAATTGTGGAATAAATTCCTTCCAGAGGTGGTGCAGTCACCTATCCTGGAGGTTTTCAAGAGGAAACTGGACAGTCACCTCACTGGGGTTACTTGACCCCAGTTGTCTTCCTGCTTAGAGCGGTGGAGCTGGACCCGATGATCTGCGAGGTCACTTCCAGCCCTAACAATCTATGAAAGGGGAGTCTGGAGACTCTGGCTACTTTTGCAGCCAGAGCAGTATGGGGAGGAATGGCCAGGTAGAAGCCCAGTGCAGCAAGTTAAGACTTCATTGGCCATATGTGTCCTAGGGTCCACCAGTTAGACAGCCTTCTGCTATCTTATTTCCAAGCTAGTTCTGAAGTGGCAGACACTGACTTCTTATCACCTGCCCTAGTTCAAGTAATTAATTGACAGTTATAGTAGTTCATTTACATGTATGTCTGTAAAATAAGCAAAAACTGAAGTACTGATCTGAGCCATCCTCTTCAATGTAATGTAGTTTATAAAAGTTGTTTGCACGTGTACTTTACTCAAAAATTGTAAAACATATCTCTGAAGTGGTAACATACTTGTTGTGTTTATGAAATCAGTTGCTCTTGAAAAAATGCTAAAGTAACTTGAGTCTTCCCTCCATGTAGAATGCACAGCATCTGCAAAGCTGTGCCTGTATATGTATGGGTTAGTTATTAATCCAGAGACTCAAGATATACCCTGATTACAAACTTTGGGCTATATAAAAACTATGAACAAGCAGTTTCATTTATTTTCTTGATTTTTGTTCAGACAGTAAAAAAACAAACAAAAACCCCCCAACCTCATGGCCAGTCTCTATTACAACAGTTTCAGTGTGATAGCTTCACAGTAGAGTAAATCTCAGCCAGAAAAATGCAACTTAGTCATTTTGAAAGGAAACTATTATTTTTAAAATTAGTATAAACTTCCCCTTCTCTGTGGCTTTTTTGTATTTGGTAGTGAAGCTGTACTACTTCCTTTACTTACTTTCATGATTGTGTATCCAAATTTATTATGTATGTATAGTTATTCGCAGAGTCTTAAGGAAACTGCTTAAATTGTACTTTTTTTCTTGTAGAAAAGAAAGGCTAATGTATTTAATATAATTTGTGTAGTTTTTATTAAATATTCAAATACATATTTTTTATGTTAAATGCAGTAGAACAAAACAATTGCCGTTCCGTCAAAGCAGCTTTTTAGAGTTTTTGACCTGCTCTGGTATAACTTCAGTGTTACTATTTCATGTTATGAATCATCATTTTGCTTAATTTCCAGACTATATTTGCACAGTTCCAACACAGTCGGGAAAAAGCACTCCCATCAGATAATATGAGGCATGCCCTGGCTGAAAGCTTTAAAGATGAACAGCGTTTTCAGCTTGGATTGATGGATGATGCAGCAGAATGCTTTGTGAGTATTTACATACGGTAGCCTATGAGAATTTCCAAGAAGAGCAGCTCCAGCCTGGGACTAAATCATTGTTCCTCTTGGCTAGTTTGGTAACTCCAATCCTTTAGCTGTTAAACAACTTGTATCTAGGGCTGATGTTTCTCATGGCAATTTGTAGTGTATTCCCAGTCTTCTGCTACCTTGCATTTGGTTAAGGAGTGCTTTAATGGAGAGGGGCAGTACCACTGAAGCAGGGTTACTTTACTTTACTTTATCATTATGTATACCTTATGTTAAAGCACCTGTGGATGATGCCTGATCCCATCTAGAAGAGTCTGTGTTTGAGACCTTTTGTCCTTTTATGAAAGGCAGTGGATAAATCGGCATAAGGAAATGTAACCCAAGGCCCCCCCCCCCCCCCCCCCCCC